CTTTTTTTAGGCATCTTCTGACAGTGACCTCCAGTATCTCTGGAAAAGTTCGCAGCTAAGTGCGACGTGGTCGGCATATGTGTGAAGTATCTAAAAAGAAAAGCCTAGTGCTTCTCTTTCTCATGCCCCTTGCTTTCTCCAGATAAATGGAGAATTAGAGGAGGAGGTGGAGAAGTTCAAGTATCTCAAGGTTGTGTTTACTGATGATGGAAAATGGGAAAAACGGATCGACTGGCGGACTGGAGTAGTTAGTGGCGTTCTGCATCAATTAGCCTGAACCGTTGTGACTGAAGCAGAAATGAATTTGAAGATTAATCTCACGGGGTTAAACTCGATCTTCATGGCACTTACGGTCATTAGTCGCAGGCTATGATCGAAATATTTTGATTCCGGGTACAAACGGCTGAAATTGGCTTTCTGGGATGTATCGCTGGGCTAACGCGTTTCGATATAGTCCGGACTACAGGTATCCGATATTCTTCGGGTACAACCGTTGTTTCTCCAGACTGATAAGTTACAGCTGCGATGGATTGGGCGCGTTTTTCGAATGCTTTCAAAAGGAAGGCTAAAGAACTACTACTTACCCCACCGAAGACCCGAGAATCACTTGGACAAGTGCCTTATCACGCTCTGTTCTGGCCTCGGGTTATCTTCTGCATAAGGTCATAAGCTGGCCAGAATCGCGAACGTCTGAGAAACTGCCTGGCGCGTCTGCTTCCGCGACCCGAAAGGATAAACGGTCATCGAGACTGACTGATATTTAAGCTTACATAGAAAAAAAATTAAACCTTATACCTTACGAACTCGATGTGCTGGAGAAAGGAAGACAACTTGGCCCGCAAGGATTGAGCATTTTCTAGATTGTACAACGACTGCCCTGCCCTATAACAGTCAAGGACGATATCACCTGTAACAAAAATTGCAATTATTATTATTATTTACCATAGGCTTTCACACATTCTGTGAAAGGAGGGCACTAGCTTCGACACTTCTGCCATCAGAGACCTCATGTTCTATAAGGAAAATAATTCTATAGTGAAAAACGTATGATTTTTACGTAATACGAAAAACTTTGAGTTCATAAAAAACAGTTTACAGACAACTATTTAAAACCGAACTTAGCTATAAGAGATTGCTTTGAGAATAATTAGAGACTTTCTATTTTTGAAATTATCTCAATTTTTTCATTTCAGAAATTATTCCAATTTTTTCTACCTTTGTCATAATTGCGAGATCATTCTAAACTTAGTATTCTTTAAATTCAATAATTTTATTTTTTAATTCGAAAATATACTCCAATTTTTGCGTACAATCGAAGTAACGATCAGCATACCTCATACATTTGAACCATTATCGGTGGTTCTGAGTTCATTTCGAGCTGCTGATCACGACGAGTCAGCAGTTGATGGCAAGTGGCACATATCCTTAGGTGTGACTCGCCCTCCTAGGTAAGTCACGCACAGATAAATACTTCTAAACTAAAGCATTACAATATACTTTGTTGAAAAGCGAGGAAACACTCGTCTCGCTACCGTCAGCCTTGAGTTTACTAAAAAACTGCTCCGTTTTCGAAGTCGCAGAGGTAGTGGCACTGCGTTCTTTGTCCAACTTTTGAGCCTCTAACTTGAACGCAACGGCGAATGCTGGATTTGTCAGTTTCCCTTAATTACATAGACCTTATAAATTCTAATGGTTTAATAATTTTCAAAATAATATGCAAGCTAAAAGTTTGTTATCATGGCTCGTGCTCGTATTAATTCCCAAAGAAAGCATATCGTTCAGAAAGTTTTCTAGTTTATTTACGGATTAGTTGAGTCCCGTAAACTGCTGAAGATACCAACAACACCTCTGAAGAGATCACGGTCATTAACTCATAGTATGCCATAAGTAACATGGCATTTCGTAATGATAGCAAATGGCACATCTCAAGGAGAACTACGCAAAACAGAGGTTCATTACTGCAGGATAGGATGGCTTGAAGCAAATGCACCGCAGGAAGCCGAAAGTATACTTCAAGATGGGTGACGGCTTGTAACTCTACTTCTACGGAGCGCTTCAAAGTTAGAACGCTGGCGAAATAATATATGGCATATAAATATATAGGTTTTGTGCAAACAACCGATTGTCTATTATGAACACCTTCTTCGAACATCCAAAAGTGCATCAGTACACCTGGTACGGGGAAGCTTGTGCATAGAAGTGGATGATCGATTTGATAATCGTATCATCTGACCTCAGACGCTCAGTAATGGATGTTCGTGTTAAAAGAGGCGCAGAGCTATCAACCGATAACCACCTCGTTGTTGGCACGCTGCGCTGTAAGAAATGGAGTACCATACGAAGACCCGGTGGCAGAAGCAACCGGAGAATCAAATGGGAAACATTGTCTTCGGCGGACATGAGAGCGAAGTTTGCAAACAACATCGCACGACGGTTTGAACAGATCCCAGCGATGACAACTGATGTTGAA